GACAACACAGATCATAGCAGTTCAAGCTTGAAAATGAATAGCCAAACTATTATCTACGGCAAGGAAGGAGGAGTGCGATTACCATTTTTTGGCACTTCCCCTGTTGAGATGACAGCGGCGCGAAGGCACTCAAGCTGCTGAGAGAGAGCTTCTGCTGAGAGAGAGCTTTGCAAACAGAAACCGTGAAAACCTAATATATTTGTGCTGAATCTGGGCTTTTTAGGGTTTGCATTGTTAGGCCTTTCGTGGACTATGAATTTGACCCCTTTTTCTATGATTGTTGGCCCAAATGATACTGGATTTACAGTCTAGTGGATCACTTTAAATTGACCCAATAGGTTAGTGGGTTAAAAATTTAACCCATTAGGCCATCTTCAAAATTATTTAGGGATTTAGGACGAAATTGACCCAATATTTGTGCTGAATCTGGGATTTAAAATGCATCCTGTATATTTCTAGAGCTACTCATATGGTGGTATACTTTTTGCTCTGGCTAAATGGGTGTTTGGTGTTGTCATTTATGAATAGACAATAATGGTTTGTAGAGGTGTTACATCTAAGTATTGTTTGTTTTAAATCGTCGTTTGAACATAATGTCAATGAAAAGCTCTTGGACCTTCTTATTGTTGTTTGAACATAATTTATCTCAATCGTTTAGTACTTAAACTATTAATTTTGATCTTTTTTAATACCTAAAGTTTTAATTATTTTGAAGTCATATATAAATTTTACTTTTTATTTCATTTTAATAGCCGTTAAAAACTTTATATTTTATTTCATTTTAGTACTTCATTCAAAATTTAACAATAAGTTTCGAAAAGATTGAAAGTTTATGTACTAAAACAGACCAAAACCGATAATTTATGTACTAAATGTGTTAAGTTTTTAACGATGGGTACTAAAATGAAATGAAAACGTTAGGTACGGTTTTGAAAAATTGAAGTTTAGGTACTAAAACGAACTGAAATTGCTAGTTAAGGTACTAAAATTGAAGTTTTCAACACAGCTAATATGCCTGCAAATCAACAAAACCCTTGGCTGCAACTTTAGATGAAAATGGATTCATGGCCAAAATGTGTTGTTTTTTTCATCTCAAAAAATGAAATGCATGGCAATTAACTTACATGTTCTGCAAGGGCTAAGTTCTCCTGTGGGGCATAGTAACATATAGTCCCTCTTGCCACTTATGATTTGCAGAAGCAGAACTCCAAAGCTGGAAACAATATCATACTTCATGTAGTGTGTGTGTGTGTATATATATATATATATGTATGTATGTATGTATGTATATGTATATACCTTTTTCTTACATATACAGGAGGAACATAGCCACTGCATTGAGAAGATGCGTATTTTCGTTAAAAAGCTAAGCATGCATCAAAGGGAACTCTGTTTAACAAGGTTAGCTTACTATGTTCATACAATTCATATCCTCCTCCAGTAATATGTTGCCGGCTTTTATATCCCGACTAATCATGGAACGTCGTTCGAATATTATTGACGATACAAACATTCCTCTAGTAACCCCTTCGACGATATGGACACGCTTTACCCGATCTAAAACGTACCGCCTTATCGGATCGGGTCGGAAGGTTTCGGAAGACAGAAGCAACACAAATGAGGAGACCCCAGTTTTGATCATGTTATTCCAGTATTGAATTATGTGCAATATGTGCTCAAAACTGTAAGTGAAAACTTAAATCAAACTTAACTCAAAAGGGACACTCACTAATCAAACTAAAATAAAATAATGGACCCACAGGTGTATGGACTTGCCAATTCAACCTTTAATTAAGACCACTCTGTTTTTTCCTATAAAAAGTATTAGTTGTTACTTTTTGCAGGTATCGGCAGTGAATTGAATGACATTTGTGGAAAAGACTGGGAGTTTGAAGGTGGTGATTTTTGTGATCCAGGTAATTTATCAGGGTTTGGCTAAGCCGAGATAGATTAATGACCTCATTTTGTCAAGTAACAAAAATATTTTCTGGTACAGATCTAGCACAAGCTATCTCCCACTTGAAAGAGACTGCTACCTTCTCTATTCCGCTTGTCGTGTTTGGTCACATGCGTAAGGAATTAAGACATGGGAATGGTCTTCGTAAAATGATTGTAGTCGGGACTGATGACATTATATTCCTGAATGGGGCCATAGTTCCCAGAGTGAGACCTATAAATGAGACCTTGCTGGCTGCTGCAAGCATCCAATTCCGATGGTACCAAACGAGCCTTCACTTTAGTTGAGATGTCAAATGGACAAGTGGATAAAATTTCTGAAAGTTGGGTGTCCGTTGTGGGGAATGAGACAGCATTAGCAGAAGAGCATACACTATTCGAATCAAACGGACAGTCTTCCCTCTGATTGGACCACTTACAGGCTACAGAATTAATCTGCTAAATAATACTTCTAAGTCTTGCTTACCAATCATCCGTATGTAGCAGCAGGAATATGGCTTTTATCTCAACTGGTAAAGAATTGTTAATCTGAAATGGAGAGTTCTAGTTTATGCTTTATATGTTTGGAGATGGTAACCGCTAGCTCTCAGCTTGTAGTTTTGTTTTGTTGACAACTTGAAGCAGGGTCCAGGGAGGTCGTTCGATCCCGGACTGACCACCGGTATCGGAACAACTCTGTTCATTTTCCGTTAACCACCGCCGGTGGATTGTTCTCGTTTTTCCTGGTATAATCTGTTATGCACACGAAAGTGATGATCCATTACCTAGATTTCTTCAATAACTTATAGCACTATTTAGAAAAGCCATTATAATAATTTAAGGGACTCTTTTCCTTTTGTTAAACACCTTTTTAAACAGGTCACTTTTCATTTTAATACTACTTTTGAGTTGCATATACCAACATATTTTCAGAACAAAACTTTATGCTTTAGGTCTTTAGTCTTATTATAATATACCTTAATGGCCTGCCACTTTCTTTCTTTTTCTATATTTATTTGTGCACCAAACTCATTCTACGGCCTTTTTGACTCATTCTCTTCCTTTCCTTTGGACTGAAGCTAGCTACATCCTGTTTTGTGTTGCCGGCATGACACGACATGTTTGTTAGTTTTGATCATTATTTTCAATGCTGATATGGCGATATCTTATAGTGATATGGCGATATCTTATAGTGATATGTCAGTATCGATGTTAATTTTTTAACGGTAGAAAACATAATGTTAAGTATGATTTTGAAAAAAAATGATAGTTGGATGACTAAAACATAAATTAAGTAATAGGTGAGTGACAAAAATAGGTAGTTTTCCCAAACCTAATAAGATCACTGTATTAATGATCTTTTATTAGCTTTCGGGGTTATCAAAGGTTGGTAATCAAAGGTTGGCATCCATTGAAACCATGCATCTTGTTGCAGACTACGTAGCAATCTAGCGAATTTTATTTATTTACTTATTTTAATAATTAGAGTGTTAATTAGGAGTTAATGAGTATTTAGATTCAGTTATAGTTGTTTGTGGAAATTAATAACAAAGGCACAAATGTCAAGACGATAACCTAGCTTGGATGGACTGAGAGGTGAGTAGAACAGTCGTAACTTGAAATTTTAAAAGTTCAACCCAAACCCGAACACCATCTTTAAAAAATTCAACCCAAACCCAAATTTAAAAAAACAATCCAATTAGATTTGGCCAGGTTCAAATCCCATACCCATCCCTACCACGACTTCAATAATTGATACATCCTATATTTAGCAGAGAATGATTTATCTCGGTGGCACGGATGCAAAGCATATGATATGTAGAGTGAATAATGTCCATCATAGAATCAAAATTTTCTTATACAAATTGTCTATTTTATTATAGTGTTAATTCTGAAATTTTATTTGAACTCACTCGTATGAAAATTTTAATAATTAATGTTTGTGCTCAGCATAAAAAATATTTACAACTTTTAGCATGAAAATCCATTAGTTTATTGAGTAATATGAAGATCCCATCTCTCATTTTTACTATATAACTGTTCAAAGTTTACTGCTAAAAACCCTAATACTTGATAAGTTTAGTACAGTCAAAAAAGGAAAATGGTATGGAGATGAGCGCCGAACAGTGAAAAAAACTGTAGTAAAAACTGGTCAAAGGTGGAAGACATTCGTTACAAAAACATAGGCTCAAGCTGAACTAAACAGATCAAAGAAGGAAAAGAGATGTCGGATTCAGACCACTTTTTTTTGTACCACTGAAATCTTCTCTTCTTTCCAAAAGATCCCACCTGCTTTGACCGAATCTCGGCCTCCAAATTTACAAATTACTTTTTTAGTTAATAACGGGTATCCGATCTATTAATCGATTAATTTAGATCGGATTTTACAGAGACCTATACAATCTCCATATGCAGATACCAAAATTTGAATATTTTGATTAATTCAGATCGAGTCGTGTCGCACACCTAATTTGAGTGTACGAGTCTCCCAGTGAAAATTTTCTATATAATGGACTCGAACTCAAAATCTACTCAAAATATATCAAAATACTTATCGCTTAAACCAAATCGGTAAAAATTCCTCTCTCTTTAATATCTAATCTTTTAACTTTGTTTTATTTATAGGATTAGGCACTAGATTTTAGGAACCAGCCATTGTTTTGGATAAAGGGAACATTCAAATTTGAGAAAGTAAAAGTCAAAAACACCCTTCAATTTTTTAGCATGAATTTGATATTTACAGAATTTTAATCTGTTATATCCTAAACCCTACAATTCAACTTTACTTGAGCATAATTCCGAGGCTAAATGCTAGAATATAGCTACCATTAAAGCTTTAATTCTATTTAAATTAAGATAAAATCTTCTGGTTTAAGTTATATTTAGAACTGATTCTAATTAGGGAAGGGTAAGACGGACAATTTAAAAATACAAAACTAGGTATTGTATATCCGACAATGAAACAAATAGAAGCCAGATCATGAAGACATCCATGGCTTCTAATCTTCTTGAAAGTTGATATTTAAGGGCATCTGCTTCCCATTAAAATCCCCCTAAAAAAACCCAGAAACAAGTCCTTGCCCCGTATGTTGTTCATTGCACGTCTTGTCCAGTTTCATATCTGAAAAAAGAAAGAGAAAAAACCGGGTTTTTTTGGGTTCCGTCTCGTGGACTGGTGGTGTTGTTAATGGGTAACGTGACGTCGGGGGTGGCGGCAAAGTTTGCGTTTTTCCCACCGGATCCGCCGACGTACGGTATCCGGCAGGAAGAAGATGGAAGGGTGGTAATGCCGGGGATCACGGGTGACATGAACATGAACGTTCATTTGCTGGACACCAAAGGCGGCAATAAAATCGTGGCCAACTTTTGGAGACACCCTTTGGCCAGGTTCACCCTCCTGTATTCCCACGGCAACGCCGCCGACTTGGGCCAAATGCATGAACTCTTCATCGAGCTCAGAGCCCACCTCCGCCTCAATATTATGAGGTATCTTCTCTCTTCGTTTCTTTGATCTTTGCTTCTTTTATGATCTCTGGGACATTCTTTTTATTGGATTTTGATTGTGTTCAATGTAATTTTTCCAATGAATTTTTAATTTTTGGTCTAATTTTGGTTTTGGTCACATGGATTTTTTGTTCTCGATTTGTTTGTCTTTGCATATTTGGGTACCATTCTTTTTGTCAAGTTTAATTATGATTAAAAAATCAAGTTCCGGGTCGACTGCGTATCTGATCCGAATTAATTGATCAAAAGATCAGATATCGGTAATTATACCAATAAAAAAACCAAGTTCCGACGTGCTGCCCATCATTCCTTTTGCTTGCTTCAATTTCATGTCGGCCGGCTATTGCTTTTCCCTTTGTCTTCCTCCATAAACTAGTTCAATAGCCGTAGATAATTTATATATATATATTAGTTTTAAGGTTAAACTATGCATTAAGTACATAAACTATCCGTTTTGATCCGTTTTAATACCTAAACTTTTAATTTTTTAAAATCATACTTAATGTTTAGTTTTCAGTTCATTTTAGTACCTCATTAAAAACTTAACGCGTTCAGTACCTAAACTATCAGTTTTGATCTGCTGTAAAACCTAAACTTTCAATCTTTTTATAACTTAATGTTAAATTTTGAACGAGATATTTAAATGAAACAAAAACTAAAGTTTTTAACGGCATAATATTAAAATAAAATAAAAATTAAACTTTAAGTATGGTTTTAAAAATATTAAAAGTTTAAGTGCTAAAACAGATTAAAAATGATTATGTAGATACTAAATACGTAATTTAACCTAATTTTATTTTATGTCGGAGCACAAACCATGTCTTCTCATGTAACGAATCTTGACTAAGAAACTCCCTCTATTTTTTTTTATTTTAATTTTGCAGTTATGATTATTCAGGATACGGAGGATCATCTGGCAAGGTAAATCTCATATATGTTTGTAGTAAATAACAAAAGGATAAATTATAAAGATGATTATTTAACTTTATTCTATCTTCTATTTTAATCGTTTTACTTTAAAGTTTTACAATTTTCTCAATGAACATAATACATTAGATTTTTTTGTCACTCAATCGTTTCCTCATTAACTACCTTATAAATGGACTTTTATATAGATGCAAAATAATATTGTTTTGGTGAAAATTTTGTTATTTTGAAACGACATTATTTTAATGTCGATAATTATTTAGCGGTAGAGTGACAAAAAAATACAATGTATTAAGTTAAGTGAGAAATTAAAAAATGTAAAGCTCTGTGATCAAAACATGAGAGAGAATAAAATTTAGTGATAAAATTTATAATTTACCCATAATAAATTGATTAGAAGTTTGAAAGACAGGGATGGGTATGGATTAGATTTTTTTAATTCGAGTATTATATTATCTGGCCTCATTACTTGATTAGAAAGAAAACTCATCTAATATGATTTTTTGAGATAAAATTTCATATTTTATCTAATTTGAATATATATAATAATTTTTTTTATTCTGTAAAATAGGGATCTAATTGAAAAAATATAGAAATAATATTATAAGGGTCATAACTCGATATAATATTATCTTTCAGAAAAAAATTAACCGATCAACCTAAACCCGAATTAAAAAAAAACACTTGTCGCTGGTCTGATTAATATAGTCAATTAAATAATTTAATTGGCCTAACCTTTATTTATTTTCTTACATGCATGACTAAATTTAATTGAAATAGCCATCCGAGTTCAACACATACTATGACATAGAGGCGGTATACAATTGTCTGAAGAAGGAATATGGGGTTAAGCAAGAAGATCTGATAGTGTACGGCCAATCCGTCGGAAGTGGACCGACCCTACATTTGGCCTCTCATTTACAAAGACCAAGGGCAGTCGTCCTTCATAGTGCCATCCTTTCCGGCATTCGAGTCCTCTATCCCATCAAGATGACACTCTGGTTCGACATCTTCAAAGTAAGTCCCCATCTTCTTTCTCCTACGATCCATGGAATCGCTCGGCTCGGAATCGATAAATCTTTACTTTTCGACTATTTGCAGAACATAGACAAGATCCGACGAGTCAATTGTCCGATCCTAGTTATACATGTAAGTACTACCTAAGTACGCGAATTAGATGTTCGGATACGGACCGAAACGATCGTTGTGGTTCATTGACGTGTATGTTGCAGGGCACGAACGATGAGGTGGTTGATTGGTCTCACGGTAAACGATTATGGGAACTCTCGAAGGAGAAGTACGAGCCTTTATGGGTGAACGGCGGCGGCCATTGCAACCTCGAAACGTACCCCGAGTACATTAAACACCTACGCAAATTCGTAAATGAGATGGAGAAGATCTCGAACGCGAAACCGGAGAAAGAGGTTGATTCTAGACCAAGACTCTCGGATGTATCTACCGAACAGAATGGTTGCTTGAGACTCAAGAAAAGGGCAGCCGGTTCGAAAAAGGAGCTGGGAACAGTGTAGTTAATTTAATTTTTAAAATTTAATCATACTGTCTATATTTTTTTAGATTAATATTAAAATTTTTATTTTATTGACAAAATTCAATCTAAAGTATTTGTTCTATTTAAGTAGTTTTTAAATATTTCGTTCATCTAATAATATTAATAGAAGTTTAATTATGAACTCAGTATTAATTCATATAATTAATTGAATAGATGCCATTAAAAGAAATTTAATATTTAAACTTTTTATTTTTAATAGGTTTAAGGGTCACATTTGTCTCTATAATAGTTTTAATTTATCATTTTCGTCTCTATTATTTTTTCGTATTAATTTATCCCTCAAAGTTGTTTAATTGTATCATTCTATACTCTACCCTAACTTAAAACTCTAAGTTAGGATTTAAGGTTTAGAAGTTATGATTCAAGGTTTATAATTTAAGGTTTTAAGTTAGGGGTAGGGTATATAATAATGTAATTGAACAATTTTAAAAATTAAATTAATACGAAAATACGATTAAAACGAAAATGATAAATCGGATCTATTCTAGACAAAAAGTTATCCTTTTTGCCTTTTTAAAATTATCATTATATTATATATATCGAAAGCTGAACTCTGGAACATACCACTTTTTCCAAAGAGACGTGGATTCAAAATGCAAATGGTGGGTAAGGGACACACCGAACTACGAAGAAAAAAATTATTATTTTCTATACACAAAGCAGGGTAAATTACGTATTTAATATCTAAACTATAAATTTTAGTCTGTTTTAGTATCTAAACTTTCATTTTTTTCAAAACCATACCCAAAGTTTAATTTTTGTTTCATTTTAGTACCTATGTTCAAAACTTAACATTAACTTTTGAAGGAAAAATTGAAAGTTTATGTACTAAAACTGATAGTTTAAGTATTAAACGCGTTATCTTTTTCATGACGGGTACTAAAATGAAACAGAAACTAAACATTAAGTATGATTTTAAAAAAAATTAAAAGTTTAAGTATTGAAATAAATCAAAAATGATAGTTTAAGTATTAAATGCGTAGTTTACCCTATAAATACCATATTTCTCTTTTATAATCGAAAGTACAAAATTTAATCGGAGAACTCTTACACTCATAATATATATGTATATATATGAATGTCATAGGCTATGATTCACATTTTATTTAATCTAATTAAAAAAATTAGTATTTAACTGCACATCTCTTTAAAAAATAAATTTCCACGTGATTTTACACACTCACAAAATTCTATAATTTTTTATTCTTAAAATTTTGAATACAATTTTTTAATTTATATTTATGACATAAAATTATATATATGGCCTGCATGTATACTCACAAAAGTAGTATGTTTCGACTCATTAAATACTCGAGTCGAGTATTTATCAAACTTTGATCGAGTCAAACTCAAGTAGCTCAAGAGTCACGATCTATCTCGTCTCATTTACAACATTAACTATGATTATTTATCGAATTTTGATCGAGTGAACTCAAATACTAACTCAAGAGTCTAAAATTTTTCTCCTCTCATTTACAGCCCTAGCTATGGTACGTTGGAGGAATCTCGAGGGAAAATGTTGCAAGCCATCTGCAGGTAATCCCCATTCCTCTATGTTGTTTACTTTCTGCATTTTGATTCCTATAATGCACTTTAAAGCTTACCATATGATGTTTTTCTTGCAGAAATATAGGCTTTACCTGAAAAGGCTCAGTGGTTTTGCAACTCAACAAGCTAACATGGCTGCTGCATTCGGCAGCAAAGACCCCTCTTACTTGCGCATCGGTTCACTGGACGGCTTTGAGGATTTTCGAACATTGACTGGACCTGAAAGGCTTTCGAGTGCTTCCCTGTCGTCTTATCAACCAGATGGAATGCTTGGGAGACTGAACTCCTCAACTGCTTTAAGCTTACGTGGGATTTCTTCCGGCATGATCCAACCGGGGTATTCTCAAACATTGAACAATTTGATCAATGGTCTCGGGAAGGTCCAGCCGGTTGTGTTACCTGCAAACCAGAATCAAAATGACGATCAGTGACGAACGATAATTGACCGACAACAACACGCGGAGTTGATTTTCTGCACGAATCAATTCGATACGCAAACTATTTAAACTGAAATACTTTAAAGTATAATAAAAAAACCAACAAACAAATGTAATATTTTACGAACGGAATGATCACGTCATTACGATATTTACGATTTAATGGTTTAATATTAAAATAATTAAAAATCTAACATTAAAAAGTGATACGCAACTCAAAATTAAGTAATATTCGAGTATAATTTAGTTCTAAATTTCAGATAGTCTTTTAACCATATGACTGAACGATCACACAGACATTTTTAGTATTTGAATTCGGGAACATTCAGAGGGTTGAGGAAGATGAAGAGGGCAGGTGGGAGTTTCAAAGGGTTTGAGCCGTTATGTGTTAGGGAGCTGTCATTTCCCGGTTTTAAGCCATCTTGTTGTCTAGAAAATAGGAACAAGAATAGCAAATGAGCAACAGACCTAAAAGTAAAAAATAAAAAGGGGTGATTCACGGAAATAAATTCTGACCAGCTATTAATGCGAAAAACTTGTAAGGGAGTTATCAAAAACAAAACCTTGGAACCGGTTAACCTCTCCCTACCTCATCCTTTTCTTGTTCTTTTTATTACATTGCATTCCCTTCGAGAGTTTCTTTCATAGTGCATCAGAAACTTGACAAGGGAATGTTCTTTTTGCACGTATAATCAATCTATTTGTAAGTTCAGGTAAGCTTAACGATGATGTTGATCATGATGATGATGGGTTTTTTGTCATGAAAAATGGGGTTTGATCAAAGTTTGGATTTCTGGGTTTGAGTGGTTAGTTTTAGATCAAAACAATATTAATATTAAAAAAATAGAAACAAAATTTTTAAAAAAAGTGTAGCAGGGTCTGAAGATGATCATTTTATGTTGTTTTTAACGTTGTAATCCTGTTAAAGACTGGGAAACAATGGATTCATCTGATGTTGTGGACAAATTTGCAGGATTTTTGGTGGCAAAATGATCAGGTGTTTGTTTTTGATATCCCTGTTGGTTCAAGTCTCTTTGGCAAAATCTGGCGGTGTTGAACCTGCAAAGCATGCGGCTGCTCCAAGGAAATGGCCAACCTTAAGCGGTAACATTATTAAAGCGATATTTTCTGTTGACAATATGTTTTCGTTAGTCGATTAATCGATGATATCGGGTGGTTTACAGGATACCCTCCCCTTATAATAGCGCGAGGAGGATTCTCGGGGCTATTCCCCGAATCGACGGCACTTGCAAACAACATGGCCTTGCAATTACGGTACACAGATGTGGCTTTGTTATGCAACCTGCAGCTGACGAAAGACAGCGTCGGCATATGCGTGACGGATATCAGGCTCGAAAACTCGACAAACATCGCAGAGCTCTTCCCCAAAGATTCCAAGACCTACAAGATCAATGGACATGATGTTAAGGGTTGGTTTGCTAAGGATTTCTCATCTCAAGTTATACTGAACAATGTTTCAAGTAAGTTTGTTTGTGTTTTGCCTGCCCCCTACATATATCACTCGAACATGAATGGTTACAATCGTCGGCTTTGTCGTTTCGACAGTGATTCAAAGTGTGTTGTCTCGACCGAGTGTGTTCGACAATCAGCTGCCGGTCGGGACCATTTATGAAGTCAGAGAAGCTAAACCAGAATTCTTTTGGTTGAGTGTCCAGGTTTGATATTTTTCTGTTTTGTGTATTGCATTATGATGATGCTTTGTATAGTGGACTAATGCATCTGTTTTATGTGTATTGCAGTATGATGCTTTCTATACTGCAAACAAACTCAGTATGTCGAATTATATCGAAAAGACTATAGGATTTAAGGGCATAAATTACATTTCGTCTCCTGAGATTGGTTTCTTGAGGAACATGAAGAAAAAGGCTCCCAAGGAGATAAGTTTCATCTTCGTGTGCCTTGGACAGGATGTGGTCGAACCGACCGAGAACAAGAAATATAGCGACATATTGAAGGATCTTAATGCCATCAAAGCCTTTGCAACCGGGATTATGGTTCCCAAAGAGTTCATATGGCCTGTTGGTGAAAATAACTACTTGCAAAAACCAACTACCCTTGTGACCGATGCTCACAAGGCTGGCCTTGAAGTGTATGCTTCTGGTTTTTCAAATGATCAAATGATAAGTCACAATTATAGTTACGACCCGACGACCGAGATCTTGAATTACGTTAACTATCCGGATTTTACTGTCGATGGGTTGCTTACGGATTTCTCCCCTATAGCATCAAACGCCATCGGTGAGCTTATAGCACAAATATAATAAGCCTGCATTATACTCTTTGAGGTTGAGATTAACCCTTACAAATGGTCTTTTTGATGCAGCATGCTTTGCAACTAACGAAACCAAAAAGGAAAAGCAATGTAAAAGCTAAGTTGAAATCCTTTGAATGAGTACCAGACCTTTATGTATTTACTAATGTCTCCCTATGATTTTGTGGCTTTACAGTGAAAACTTTGATTATAACTCACAATGGAGCGAGTGGGGTGTATCCTGGTTGCACCGATCTGGCTTATGAGCAGGCAGTAAACGATGGAGCTGACATTATAGATTGCTCGGTCCAATTGTCGAAAGATGGGAGTTGCCTTCTGTTCAGATTCAGCTGATCTGACAGGGGATACTACTGCAATGCCTACCTTCATGTCCAAATCTTCCTTAGTTCCTGAAGTTCAAAAGGATAAGGGAGTTTTCTCGTTCGATCTTACATGGACCGAGATCCAGACCTTGAAACGTAAGCTTATGTAACACCAATTTTATCGTATCTTACAATGTTTTAGTGGTCTCGTTAATGTTATCCGTTGTTCTTCAGCTCAAATGTACAGCCCTTTTGGACAAAGGACCGGCTACTACAGAAACCCTGCGGCCAAAAACAAAGGAAAATTCATGACTCTAAATGACTTTTTGGGGTTTGCTAAGACAAAAGAAGTTGAAGGAGTTCTAATCAACATAGAAGTAAGATATACAATCGTTAACCTATATGAAAAATCTGTCGAATTTCGGTTATTTGATGAACATATGATTGATTCATTGAGTTGCCTGCAGAATGCTGCTTACTTAGCATCAAAGAAGGGTCTTGACATTATAGATACAGTGAACAAAGCATTGAAGAATGCAAGCTTAGACAAAGTAAAAGTCATGATCCAATCGAATAACAGTTCGGTACTAAAGAAATACTCGAGTGATCAGGGTTACAAAAGATTGTTACATTTGAAGGAACCGATCAGCAAGGTCGCTAAATCGGTACCGGAAGAGATCAAGAAATTCGCAGATGCAATTGTTGTACCAAGACCTTCCTTGATAGAAATAAATGAAGGTGGCTTCACCAAGGCTACAACAAACGTTCTCAAGGAGATGCATGCGGTGAACATCTCGGTTTACGTCTCAGTCATGAGGAATGAATTTATCGCAATCCCATTCGATTTCTATGCGGATCCAACCATGGAGCTTGCCACTTACAATGTAGAATTAAACGTTGATGGGTTTGTAACAGAGTTCCCTGCAACTGCCAGCAGATATTTAAGTGAGTACTTACTTCCACCATAAAAAAAAACTTAATCAGCGTCGAGTTCGAATACACGCATTAAAACTTTTTCGGTCTCGGTGGTTGCAGGGAGTTCGTGTGTCGATATGAATGCGGATGTTGCCATCTTACCAGCTGAAGTAGGTGCATTGCTTCAGGAAATCCCTGAAAACACACTGCCAGCAGTTCAACAACCAAGTCACCCACTTGAGGTTAAAGATCTCGCTTCCCCTCCGATACCGCCGGTCAAAGCTCCAACGGCTGGCGGATCTAATTCGCCACCGGGTCCCCCTGGTGCGCCCGCGCCGGCTCCTTCAAGCACGGCCGTCGCCGCCAAGTTTGATGTTTGTGTAGCACCATTTATGGTACTAGTCGGCCTACTACTCTCAATGTAGCACTCAACTTTATAAAACTATAACGGCATGATTGATCTATTTCTCATGGTTTGTACCATTCTGATCCTAACAGATGCATTTATATGGAACATATGTACACGTACACCAAAAGGTTGATCAAAAAATTGAAAATAAATAAAAACTTTTTTATTTATTTACAATTTCGTTGGCACCTTATACAAACTTACTCCTTTGATTTTCACTTTAGCCCCTAAAAATTCTAGTTCAAGGGCTTGAGTTAGATTTTGTGGGGTTTGAGATATTTTCGGTAAAACGAATAATAGATTCGTGTTCAAGAGGTCAAAAAGATTAAATTGTAAATTTTAGGATACGACGGTTGATGGCGACCAATGACGACGGTTGATGAGTGGTGGTCGACGAAAAAATAACTTGATCGAAATTTCGAATTCAACGACCAAATTAATATTTTATCTAAAGTTTAGGGGTTAAAATGATATTTCATCAAAAATTTATGATCAAATTAATATTATATCTATAGTTCAGGGGTCACTAAAAATTAACTCATTTTGACTAACCTACTACATCACCAAACAAGTAGGACTTAATGACCAAAATATACTAGTTGATAAGTAAAATGACCTAAATTTATAATATATCTAAATATGAAAGGAAATTGATCAATTTGATAATTAATCCTCTTAATAAAGATTTTAGGATAAAAAGTATTTTTCAAGCCTAAACAAATTTGTGAGCCCCAATTGTTTTTAAGTTGCAAAATCCAGTTGTTCATTAATAGATGGATAAATTATGTGTTTAGTATTTAAATTATTAATTTTCGTTTGTTTTAATATGATAAATTTTAAAAAGATTAAAAAATTAGATATTAAAATGAATTAGTACTATTAATTTATGTACTAAATACATTAAAATTTTAATGATGAAATATTAAAATAAAATAAAAATTAAATATTAGACCTAATTTTAAATATTAAATGAACAAAATTATTAAACGCATAATTTACCTCAACTAGAAAAGGCGGAAGATTTGTTCAACTGACCCCAATTTAATTTCATATATAGGTTGATTTATTTGGGTTTTTCATCTCAAGACTTCCTTCCTCAGATCGTTGAGAAATCCCAAGACTCGTATGCTGTAATCAGGTACTCCTATCATCCTATGGAACAAAGAGTTCGTGTTTATCAATTCATAAATGTGCTAATTCTTATTTGAAAAGTCATCGTCACTTTTCTTTGCAGTATCGTGGTAATCGTTTAGAATATTAAGTTTTTTTCCCTCGTACGCATTTCTGGGTTTTGTTGGAATCCCAGAAAAAAGTTCATTTCTCTGCTGGATCATAATGATATTAGTTAGATCTTAGATGGTTTGTCTTTGGCTGCATTATTTACCATCTGATTTGCAAAGATTAATTGGCTTTATCTTTCTCTGGATCAGTGATGCGTTGTGTTTCCAAAACTGAGTAATTAGTACCAAGGCCATGAGAACAATAAACAAATGCTCAAGGATCCCCAAATCTTGATTCATAACTTAATAAATCGAATCAGCTAATTTATCACAATTGAATTCTTTAATTGTTCAAAATGGACTTCACAGTGAAGTGCGTGCTTACTTGCCCTTCGTTTAACACACCTGATGGTTGATTCCTTTTTGTCTGCAGTTTTCTAGCAGCCAAACAGAAAATAATATTTTATTTTCCTGTAGAAAATGATTGGAGCTGGGAAGATAAAGCAATACTCAAACATCCTTGAGAAGCCCCTCAGCAAGGGCAAACAAGAGGTTCCCTCACTCTCTCTGCTTCGATTCTGTATACTTCCTATGCTATGTATTAAAATGTGATATAAAGTTTAAACTAGAAACCTTCTTTTTCTTTTTCCTTATTTTAGTTGATTAAACAGTATATTCAAATTCCTAGCCATTAAATTAGGTTGAGAAATTGTGATTCAATGACACAAATTAGTCAGAGAAAAAAATCCGTGAGAAAATTATTTAGAAAATATAAAAGTTCACATAAACCAAAACATGAGTAGCTTTTATTGGGGATTTATTCTATCTCTTTTTGATAGAAAGGAGAGGCCTCATTAAAAAACCCCTTCATAACCATCAAGCTACAATGGTACCTCAATGGACATTGGAAGGAGGAAAAGAGTGCCTCAAATTTTATTACGAAAAAGGGATTTACGCCATTTACAGTACCAGAAATTACAACCAGTTCCACCACAATCCTAATCACATCCCTCTGAACACCAAAAAATTACCCGAACAAAAGATACAAACCAATTATCCTATACCCTTCTTCGCCAACCTATCAGCCTCCCAATTGACACCTCTCTTAACAAACCTAATAATTATATTACGTTCCAAAACACTATTGACAATTTTCCTAACTAATTGGAAAAACAAAACAGGACAATCCCCTGTATTCTTTATCCAATTCACTGCAATTGCCGAATCAGACTCTATAATTAACCGACCCTTTCCTTCCCACTCTGATTCCATAAAGAAGCCTATACCAGTCTGAATGGCCTTCAATTCAGCTAAACCCGGCGGACCTGGACCAGAAGAAATCGAGAAAGAACCCAGCACCTTATTCTTTTCATCCCTAAGGATTCCCCCAATCCCACTGCTTTTCCAGTCTCTGTTCACTGCCCCATTGACATTAACTTTAAAAAAACCAAGGGGCGGAGGACTCCACAAGTCCGATGGGGAGATCGACTTATTATACCCTTTACAAGAATCTGCCAACACCGGATCAACCACTAGACTGTCTAGGCGGACTGGAAATTTGGGACACTTCGCCAAAAACCATGCTGCCACTATATCTTGATATAAAGAACAGATGAGTACGATCAAGACTTCCTTTCTCGAAAACCAAATGATTCTGACACTTCCATATTAACCACGTTACAGCTCCCGGAATAAAGTTCCAGATTAAAGACTTAGAAACTAAGCTGCCCCAAGAAGATAAGAAGGCAGAAGGATTATTCGAAATAACAGAAGACACATTCCAAAACCTTAAGAAACTCATCCATAAGCCCCAAGCAAAACTACATGAAAAAAACAGATGAGATACCTTCTCA